CTGAGGTGGTTCTGATTTACAGTGATCCTGTGCATAGCAGAACGAACACTTTGCCATCCTCACAATTGTGATTACATTCAAGTTCTAAAATGCCCATTCTTCCCAATGTTATCCATCATTTGTCATGATCCACACAATCTAAAGCCTTTGCATAGTCGATAAAGCATGAATAAATGTCTTTCTGGTATTCTCTGCTTTCAGCCAAGATCCATTTGACGTCAGCAATGAGATCCCTAGCTCTGTGACCTCTTCTGAACCTGGTTTGATTTGAATTCCTGACAGTTCCCTGGTGATATGCTATTGCAAATGCTTTTTTTGTTTGTTTGTTTTAAATCTTCTATTGTGAATTAAGTAAAGTCTTACAGAGAAGTTTATCATTCTTTACGTTCACCAAATCATGTTTCATCTCAATGATTGCAGTCTGCTCCATGCAACAACAATGATCCCACTTCCTCTAGTGGTTTTATTTCTATTCCACCCACCTTTCCATCCTTTCTCAACTTTGTTTTTAGGTAGATACTACCCTTTTGATTTTCAATGATTTCATGGTGAGCGTACTCTTCTCGTGTTGTTGGTCCCCCTATACACCCACCTACTGCTTGGCTTAAAATTGGGCCATGATAGTGAGTTCCATTCCAAACCTGAAGGGTGGTTGAGAGCCACAGTCTCAGGTTCCTCCAGTCTTTTTCTGACTAGTAACCCAATCTTTTTTCTTTTCTTTCTTTCAATTTTCATTTTGCCTTCTCCTACTCTAGCTGAGAACTTCTAATGTAATCTGTTTCAGAGCATTTGGTGTAGTGGTAGCTGGATATCATCTTGTTCTTCTGGTAGCAGAGTCATGGAGACTGATGTTGACATATACCATTAATCCCTTTTGAGTAATTGATTAGAAGCATCTTCAATGTTCATCATTCTTCTTTCTTCTGCACATGGAGAGAGCAATAGTTGCACCTTAGATGGCTGCTCATGAACTTTTAAACCCAGGCTCTACTCATGACAATAAGATATCTTTGTGAACTATGTTATGTCCACTGACCATGGTATCCCCTGAGACTATGGTTCTGAGCCTCTAGGCTCAGATGTTTGATAGTATCTAAGAAGTTTTTATCATTTTGCCTCTCCTATGCTCTTGGTCCTGGTGTGGCGCTGTGGGTTAATGCGCCAGACTGTAAAGCCGTTTGAACTGCAAGGTCGGCAGTTCAAACTCACCAGCTGCTCCTCGGAAACCCTATACAGGGTCGCTATGGGTCAGAACTGACTCAACGGAACTTCACAACAACAACAACAACATGCTCTTGTAGTGTAGTGGTTATGAATTGGTTGCGAACTTCAAGGTCAGCAGTTCGAAACTACCAGCTGTTCCGTGGGAGAAAGATGAGGCTTTCTGCTCCCATAAAGATTTATAGCCTTGGAAACCCTGTACAGGGTCACTATGAATCAGAACCAACTCCACGGTACATAACAACAACAACAACAGTGCTCTTGTACATGGCTATTTACCTTTGCTTCAAACACATTCATAGGTGTGCTTGCAGCATAGGTAAATAGCCATGTACAAAATATCTACTTTGTGGATATACTCCCCCTCTTCCTCTCATATTCATTCAGCCTGTGTATCTGTCCATGTATTTACCTACAAAACACTGTTTCGAAGTTGTGTATATAATACTATTTACACCTGCCCCCTTTAGCCCTTGCATACCTCCCTGTCTTTACCTGTCTTCATCATTCTTCTACCAACCTCCCTTCTCTTGTATATTGCCCTCCCCCTTTTTGTATATCGCCCTCCCTGTCACCTGAGTTGACATATATCTACCTTCTAGCCAGTGAATTACTCTCCCTTTCCTCTCACCACTAGTAACCACCAAAGAATGTTTCTTTTATTGTGAAAACCTTTCCTTGAGTTTTGACAATAGTGATCTTATACAATCTGTCATTTTGTGGTAGACTTGTCTTACTAAGCATAATGTTCTCCAGATTCATCCATGTTATGATGAGGTGTTTTGCAGATTCATTGTTATTCTTCAGCAATGAATTCCATTGTGTGTATATACCAAAATCAGTTTTACCCTTGATGGGCATTTACACTGTCTCCATTTTGCTATTGTGTATAGTGCTGCAGTGAACATCAGTGTGTATGTATCTACTTGTGTCATGGCTTTTATTTCTTGTGGATATATACACCAAATAGAGGGAATGCTGGGTTATACGATATTTCTATTTTCAACTTTCTAAGGAAACTCCCTGCCATTTCCCACAGTGATTGAACCATTTATAGTTCCACCAGCAATGTAATAGAGTCCTGGTCTCTTCACACCCTTGCCAGTATTTGTTGTTTTCTGTTTTTTTGAACTTTGCTCTTCGTTCTGGGATGTGGTGATAATCTCATTGTTGTTTTGATTTGCATCTCTCTAATGAGAGCTCTGATAGCATAGTGGTTATGAATCGGGCTGCAAACTGCAAGGTCAGCAATTCAAAACTACCTGCTGTTCCTCCAGAGAAAGATGAGGCATTCTGCTCCCGTAAAGATTTACAGTCTAGGAAACCCTGTACAGGGTCACTATAAGTTAGAACTGGCTCCACGACACACAGCCAGCCAATGGCTAATGGCAGACCAGTCACTGGAGAAAGGATATCATGTTTGGTAAGGTGGAGGGTCAGAGAAAAAGAGGAAGACCCCTGATGAGATGGATTGACCAAGTGGCAGCATCGATGGACTCAAGTGTGGCAACAATAGTGAAGTTGGCTCAAGATCGGGCAGTGTTTAGTTCTGCTGTACATAGATAGGGTCACTGAGTCAGTACCAACTCGATGGCACCTAACAACAACAATAGTGGCTAATGATCACGAACATTTCTTCATATGTTTGTTGGCTGCCTGAATGTCTTCCTTGGTGAAGTGTCTGTTCATGTCCTAAGCCCTTTTTTTAAGTGGGTTATTTGTCCTGTCTTGTAGAGGTATTGTAGTTTTTTATAATTTTTAGCTATTAGTCCCTTGTCTGATATGTCATTACAAAAATTTTTTCCCCAGTTTCTTGTTCTCTTAGTCTTTTTGAGAAATCTTTTGATGCACATAAGTGTCTAATTTTTAGGAAGTCCCAGTTATCTATTTTATCTTCTAATATTTGTGTGTTTTTACTTATATTTGACAGTGTATTTATGCCATGTATTGAAGTCCCTAAGTTTTCCCCTAATTTTTCATTAACAATCTTTATAGTTTGGGGTTTTATATTTAGGACTTTAATCCATGTTGAATTCATTTTTGTATATGATGTGAGAAATGAGTCTAGTTTCATACTTCTGCAAATGGATTTCCAATTTTGCTACTACCATTTATTGAAGACTTTATCTCTTCTGTACTTAATGTATTTTGGCCTTTTGTCAAAGATCAAAGATCAAAAATGCTGATGGTATGTGGATGGATTTAATCTTGGGTTTTCAATTCTATGCAACAACTTTTGAATTATCTTCAACAAAATTTTACTTGCATATGATATTAATAATATTGTTTAGTGATTTCCATATTCCATTCTCTTTGGAATGGGTACTAATATGGATATCTTCTAATCAATCAGACAGGTAGCTATCCTTCAAATATCTTGGCATAGATGAGTGAGCACGTTCAATGTTGCATCAGTTTGTTGAAAGACTTCAACTTTTATTGTCTATTCCTGGAACTTTGTTTATCTCCAGTGCTTTCAGTTTGGTTTGACTTCTTTCTTCAGTACTATTGGTTCTTGATCATATGTTACCTGTTGAGATGGTAGATTTCTTTTTGGTACAGTGACTTGTACAAAAGATTCCTTTCATCTTGTTTCGATGCTTTCTGCATTATCAGTATTTTTTGCCCATAGAATCCTTCAATATTGCAAGTTTAAGCACAATTTTTTCACTTCTTTCAGCTTGAGAAATGGTGAGTGTGTTCTTCCCTTTTGGTTTTCTAATTCCAGGTCTTCATACATTTCTTGAGCTGCCTTTTGAAATTTTCGGCTCGGCTCTTTTATTCCCTCATTTCGGCTTCTCTATGCTTAAGAACAAGTTTCACAGTGCCTTTTAACATCCTTTTTGGTCTGTATTTACTATTTAATTACCTTTTACTTTCTTCCTGTGTGAGTTTCTAGATGTTGTCTCACAACTCTTCTAACTGGTCTTCCTTGTAGGCACAGGAATATTACCCTATCACAGACAGTATTGTATTTCAAGACAGTTCTCTAAATGTTCTCTTTAAAGATGAATGTGACACCATTCCTTTTCAATTTGTTTTTTCCTTCATAATAAACCATATGATTGACGGATTCAAAATGGCCAATACCTGTCCATTTCAGCTCAATAATTCCAAGGATATCCATCTTTGTGTTCCATTTAATTTAGAACTTTTAATTTTCCTAGATTTATACTTCATAAATTCCACATCCTGATTATTAATAGATGGCTTTAGCTGTTTCTTATCATTGTGAGTCATGCTCTATTAGCCAATGAAGTTCTTGAAAGCTTTATTCCACTCACGTCATTTTGGGCAACTGTACTTTGAAGAGGCAGTTCTTAACCAGTTGTATTTTAAGTGCCTTCTAACCTGAGGGGTTCATCTTTAAGCACTATATCTTACAATATTATGTTGCTTTTTATAAGGTTTTCATCTTCCAACACTATTATCTGACAATGTTCCACTGCTATTAATAGTTTTTAGTGGTATTTAGAAATGGATAACCTCTACTTTTTTCAGTCTGTCTTAGTAGTATGGAAGCCACACCACAATTGGGCCACCAAGAGAACTCTGTTAGTATTTGAAATGTTGGTGGCATAGCTTCCAATAGTATTGCAGTAGCATGCAAGCCACCATAGTACTGCAAATTTATAGATGAGTGGTGGATACATTCATTTAGCATATATAAAAATGCTTAGCTGTCTTATTTTCTTACTAAAAATGTATTTAAGTTAAGAATAACTGCTAATTGAGGGGATTTAAAATCTTGTAATGGATATTATTTGTTTATATTGTAGAATTCAAGTTGTAAGCATGCAGTTTAAAAGTCAACAAGATGAATATAAGAAAGCACAGGAAGAATTGAGTAATTTGCAATGTGAATTAAAAATTAAGCATAGACAGTCACAAATCTTCAGGTAAGACAATCTTTAAGGGATAGAAAAGATAGAAAAGAAACACAAAGTAAACTTTATAAACATTCTTATAATTTTAACAATGGTAGCATAGTGGTTACGAATCAGGCTGTGAACCACAAGGTCAGCAGTTCGAAACTACCAGCTGTTGCGTGGGAGAAAGATGAGGCTTTCTGCTCCCATAAAGATTGACAGCCTCGGAAACCCTGTACAGGGTCGCTGCGAGTCAGAACCGACTCCACGGCACATAACAACAACAACAACAACAACAACAAGTTTCTATATCCTTTGTGATGGACAAATTAAAAAGAACCCTACTTTTCTTTTTTCCCACCATTATCTCAGTGAAACAGTTTTACCAGTAAAATTTCAATCAGGCACATACCCTGTTCTTATTTTATTGTAACATTTAGAATGAACGCACTGTAAGTAAGCCTTTTTCCTCTTAACCAGTATTTCTTAGTATATTTTGTACCCTTAATGATAATCCATTGGAATAGGAAGCAATAGAATTGGAAGTCCTAGCCAGATCAATAAAGCAAGAAAGGGAAATAAAAGGGAGCCAAATTGGTAATGAAGAAGTAAAACTATAACCATTTACAGAGATAGGATTCTATATGTAAAAATCTCAGAGACTCATAGAACTAATGCTGTTGTTACTGTTAGTGCCCTCTAATAGGTTCTGACTCTATGGTGACCCTATCACAACAGAACAAAACTCTCACAATTTTGGTTACACTTGAGCCCATTGCAGACCATATTCTGGCGCGCTTCATAATGTTTTCCTCTTCTACCACACTATAGTTGACAGTGCTCAGCTGCTATTCATAAGGTTTTTCGGTGGCTAATCCTTCCGATGTAGTCCACCTCTATTTCCCTGTCTATTTTAATCTGGAAGTACCACTGAAACTAGTAGCATAACTTTCAGTATCGTAGTGGTTATGAATCAGACTGTGAACCGCAAGGTCAGCAGTTCGAAACTACCAGCTGTTCCGCAGGAGAAAGATGAGGCTTTCAGCTCCCGTAAAGATTTACAGCCTCGGAAACCCTGTACAGGGTCGCTATGAGTCGGAACCGACTCCCCGGCACATAACAATCAGAGCAACACACAAGCCACCACAGTATGACACACTGACAGATGAGTGGTGGACTAAAAGAAGGGTTTAACTAAGTGGCAGTATACAAGAGCAACATACCAGAATCAGTTGGATTCTTCTATACTAACAAAGTGAATACTGAAAAAGGAATCGGACACAAGAACGTTTATAATTTTTGTTGTTGTGTGTTATCAAGTCAGTTCTGACTCATAGTGACCCTGTATAGGGTTTGAGAACAGTGGTTGGTGGGTTTAAACCACTGACCTTGCAGCTAATATTTCAGTCCTTTCCTACAGTGCCCTATTTTTTGTTGTTGTTAAGTGCCGTCGAGCAGGTTCCGACCCATAGTGACCCTGAACAGGGTTTCCGAGGCTGTAACTCTTTACAGGAGCAGAAAGCCTCATCTTTCTCCCGCAGAGCAGCTGGTAGTTTTGAATTGCTGACCTTGCGGCTCACAGCCCGATTAGTAACCACTATGCTACCAGAGCTCCTTGTGCCATACCAATATTTACAGTAACCACCCAAAAGATGAAATACATAGGAAGTGACTTACCTAACCAGGGAAACAAGACTTACACAAAGAAAATTACAAAACACTACTACAAGAAAGTCTCTACTTACATAAATAGGAAAACAAAACAAACAAACATGCTTTCTAATAGGCAGATTTAACACTGCGAAAATGTCAATACTACCCAACGTGATCTATAGTTCTCATGCAATCTAGATCCATATACCAACAACATTGTCTTATGTCAGGTTCTCTAGGGAAACAAAGCCAGTGTTATTTAATATATATGTTTATATCATGGAAATGACGCACGATTCCACAGATAGGAGAGTCCCAAGTGCAGGCCAGGCAAACCAAGATCAGCGTGCGATTTCAGAAAGCAGGAATTCCAAGCGGGGCACAGAGCAGGCGCTGGAGCAGGGGCGGCAGCAGGGTGACAGTCGACAAAGGCCTGGGATAGGCATGTTGCAGAATCAGCGGTGTGGGGCACATGAGCCAAGCAATAGGAATAGGTGTGCAGGACCCTCTGGTGGGTATCCGGTTTTCCAGGCACACTCAGCAGGCAGGCCATCAGGCAAGCCTCTGGCTCAGGTTCAGAGAACCAGAGGTTAGATGACAACTCAAATGGCGGATCCAGATCCTGTGGTGAAGAAGAATGTTAGTCTTTCCTGCATGTCCACTACATTGGAAGCAGGCCACACACCCCAAGGAAACATCCCCTCAATTTATTGGCTTCTCACAACCAATCATCGTAGAGTTATCACCTGACAAACAACTGGAAATCCTAGCTCAATCAAGCCGACACAGAATCTAACTATCACAAACATTCTCTAATGATATGGAAAACATATCATATACTTTATTTATATGGAAAGAAGAGAAACCAGGTAAATTGAACACTATTTAAGAAGAATTAAGTAGGAAGCCTCATACTTCCTAATCTTAGAACCTACTATTCAGGCATAGTGGTCAAAACAGCTTGGTACTGATGTAATGACACATACACCAATGGATTAGAATTGAAAATCCAGAAGTAAATCCATCTATTTATGGACAGCTGATAATTCAGCAAAGGGTTGAAGTCCTTCAAATGGTGAAGAAGACAGTCTCTTCAGTGATTGTTGCTGGCAAAACTGGATATACATTTGCCAACAAATGAAATAGAATCCTTACACCTTTCACACAAATGAAATCAAAATAGATCAAGGAACTAAATATAAGATTTAGAACTATTATGTTTATGGAAGAAGACATAGGGACAAACCTAGGAACCCTAATATATGGCATACATAGACAATCAAACTAAAACGTAACAGCAGAATATGAACTAGATAGCTAGGACCGCCTAAAAATTAAATACTTACGTTCATCAAAAGACTTCACCAAAAGAGTAAAAAGAAAACCTGCCAAGATTTCAATCTCTAAACTTTACAGAAAACTTCAGCACCTCAAGAACAAAAAGAATTCCCCTTTAAAGACGGGCAAAGGACATCAGCAGAGACTTCACCAAAGAAGACAGGTTGTCAACAAATTCATGAAGACATGCTGTGATCATTAGCTATTTTTGTTGCTGTTTTGTGCTGATAAGTTGATTCCAACTCATAGGGACCCTGTATTGGCTTTCTGAGGAGCAGCCAGTGGGTTTGAACCAGTGATCTTGTGGTTAACAGTCTAGTGTTTATCTTGTAGCACCACATCAGGACTCCGTTAGCCATGTTGTTAAGTGCCTTCGAGTAGGTTCTGACTCACAGTGACCAGATGTATAGGGTTTCCAAGAAGCAGCCTGTGGATTTGAACCACAGACCTTACGGTCCAGATCACTATCCCACAGTGCCACTTCAGGACTCCATTAGCCATTGTTGTTATTGTTAGGTGTCATCGAGTTGGTATGGACTCATAACGACCCTATGCACAACAGAACGAAACACTGCCCAGTCCTAGGCCAACCTCACAATTTTACCACACTTGAGTCCATTGGTGCTGCCACTTTGTCAATCCATCTTGCTGGGGGTCTTGCTCTTTTTCTCTGATCCTCCACCTTACCAAACATGATATCCTTCTCTAGTGACTGGTCCCTCCTTAACAATATGTCTGAAGTATGAGAGACTAAGTCTGGCCATCCTGGACTCCAAGGAGCACTCTGGATATACTTCTTCAGCACGGATCTGTTTGTTCTTTTGGCAGCCCATGGCACTTTCAATATTCTCCTCGAACACCATAACTCAAATGCATCAATTCTTCTACGGTCTTCCTTATTCACTGTCCAGCTTTCACATGCATATGAGGTTATTTAAAATACCATGATTTAGGTTGGGTGCACCTTAGTCCTCAAGCTGACATCTTTGCTCTTCAACACATTAAAAAGGTCTATTTGTGTAGCAGATTTGCCTAATGCAATATGTTGTTTGATTTCTTGACTGTTGCTTCCATGAGTGTTGTAAATCTTTACTGGAGTAGAAATCCATTTTGGTCTTTTTCTTCTTTCTAGTCTTTTTAACGACCTTTTGTTTTCTTGAATACTTTGATCTTCATCAGTAAGTATTTTAAGTCCTCTTCGCTTTCAGCAAGCAAGGTTGTATCATCTGCATATCACAGGCTTTAATATAGCATCTGCATTAACAACTTGTAATATGAAGTTAGTGATCAGTTCCTCCATTTCTTTAAAGAGTGATGTTAGAATCTAGTTTGGGATTGCATTGTATCTATAGCTTGATTTGGGTAGTTTAGAGATTTTCATAATTTTAATTCTTCCTATACATGAGTATGGTATATTTTTGTCTCTTTTGGTTCTTTTTGTTGTGTTTGTAGTTATCTTTGTATAGGTCTTATTGTTTTTCTAGTTAGATTTATTTTTACGTATTTTCTCTTTGGGTGTCTATTATAAATGGTATTATTTTCCTGATTTCCTTTTCAGAGCTGTCTTTATTAGTGTACAGGAATCCAACTTTTTTTTTGTATATTGATTTTGTACTCTACTCTGAGATGTTGCTGAATCTTTCACTGAGTTCCATTAATTTTTTTGCTGAGGCGTTGAGATTTTGTATGTATAGGATCATACCATCTGCAAATATAGTACTTTTTCCTTGCCAATTTGAAAGCCTTTAATTTCCCTTTCTTGCCTTATAAAGCTCTGGCTAAGACTTCCAACACCACATTGAATAGGAGCTTTAATACAGAGCGTCTTCTTTGTCTGGTTTCTGTTCATAAAGGGAATACTTTCAGTTTCTCTCCATTGAAAGTAATTCTGGCTGTTGGATTTGTGTATATGCTCTTAATTATGTTGTGGAATTACCCTTATATTCCTATTTTGTTGAGAGCTTTTATTGGGAATGGGTTTTGGATTTTATCAAATGCTTTTTCTGCATCAATTGATAATGATTATGTGGTTATTTTTC